ACCCCCTGCCTGCACACAGCCCATATCTACCCCCTCCCTGCAACCTGAGCCACCCCCTGCCTGCACACAGCCCCTAGCTACCCCCTCTCTGCACCCTGAGGTATCCCCTCCCTGCACACAGCCCCTAGCTAACTCTCCCTGTACCCTGAGCTACCCCCTGCCCACACACAGGCCATAGCTACCCCCTCTCTTCATCTTGAGCGGTTTTCAAACTTTTTGAATTGAGTCCCCTCTTTGAGTTATATTTTTGGGTGCGTCCCCCCACAGCCCGGACAGGCTGGGTGCCTCCTGAGTGAGTCAGGGGATGGAGGTGGCACGCCCTCCCTGGACCCTGCTGTGCAGAGTTGGCTCGAGCCCCACCAGCCCCCAAATAGAAGCAAAACTATGCCTATGTCCAAGGGTGTTTCCCCCCAGGCCTGGAGCCCCCTGCTCCCCTCCTTCCCCTGCCAGGCCCTGGTGTTTTTATCGCACGTTGAGGGGGGGCCTCAGCAAGAAAAAGGTTGAGAACCCCTGTCCTACAATGTATTTCCCAAATTGATATGCACCTCCCCCACTGACAAATCAGAGATATCCTACCCCACAATCAAAAGAACATGGGTTTCTTCCTGTCCTGACATACCTTCCTCACTCAGCCTTCCAGCACTTCCACAAATAAACCAGCACCCACTACCCTAGTTCTTCGGCTCCTGGGCTCAGCTGCTGTATTGTGCTGTGTTTTATTACCCTCCACGTAGGTCAGCTGTACAAAATCGTCAAGAAGATTAACCAGCTCATAAGTATCGCCTCAGCCTTCCGCACTGTTAGTGTTGGGCAAACAATTTGCCACCGATTATTTATTTATTTATCTAAGCTTTTTCCCTGTTTGCAAATTGTCTGCGGACTCTGATTTCATTCATTTGTTTACTGTACACAATTGACGTCCCTTCGTGTGAACAAATTTCACCCAATGGATGGATCACAAACGGTTCGGTGCGGGCTTGATCAAGAATCTGTTGATATCGTTGGAAACACCCTCATTGACATTAATGGGCAGTGGATCAGGCCCTGCGATCATTCATGCAGGGATCTGATCATCACCCTGCAGTATATGCACTGTGGGGCCGCCTCAGTGACAAAGTGTAATATTTGTTCCCTATTTCCAGTTCACAAACCCATCAAGGAATGTCATGAGAGCTGGGCAAGCACTGCTGAAGTGAAAAGTTGTATGAACACATATTGGCAGGAGTATTAGCCCAGTTTTGGGAACTGGTGACACTTTTGCTTTCTGTGAACAAATATTTACTTCGTTCTAACGTTCACGGACAGTGAGTAAAAAGGGTTTTGAATACCAATGTAGAGAATTCATGGGTTTTCATTTTTTTGTAATGATCGATTATTTTTGCTGTATTCTTTCCCCTTCTAATTACCATTATGATGATTATAGTTAGAAAAAGACTGATGATATTCTACTCACTAGTCAGAAAAATATTACTTGCTCCAGGCAAATGGACAAATGCAGGTTTTGTAAGGTTGATAATGAATCTAAATACACTGGGCATTAGACAACTTGATGGCAGATGAAATTTATCCTGGATAATTGTTATCATAAAACATATTAACCAAAATAATTTAAACTTTTCAGGAACACTGAAGGGTTACGAACATGTGGGATCTAAAGAAAATGACTTGGGAATTATAAGTAGCTTGATAAAGATGTCTGTCCAGCATGCAGAAGTAGTTTAAATAAGCAAGAAGATACATAGGACATTTAAAAGGGTATTAATTATTATTAGAGCTGTCAAGCGATGAAAAAAATTAACCGCGATTAATCATGCGATTAAATGCACGATTAAACAATAATAGAATACCATTTATTTAAATATTTTGGATGTTTTCTACATTTCCAAATATATTAATTTCAATTACAACACAGAACACAAAGTGTACAGTGCTCACTCGATATTTATTTTATTACAAATATTTGCACTGTAAAAAACAAAATAAATAGTATATTTCAATTCACCTCATACAAGTACTGTAATGCAATCTCTTTATTATGACAGTTGAAATTACAAATGTGGAATTATTTACAAAAAATAATTGCATTCAAAAATAAACAATGTAAAACTTTAGAGCCTACAAGTCCTCTCTGTCCTACTTCAGCCAATCACTCAGATAAACAAGTCTGGTTACAATTTGCAGGAGATAATGCTGCCCACATCTTGTTTACAATGTCACCTGAAAGTGAGAACAGGTGTTCGCATGGCACTGTTGTAGCCGGCATCACAAGATATGTACGTGCCAGATGCACTAAAGATTCATATGTCCCTTAATGCTTCAACCACCATTCCAGAAGATATGCGCCAATGCTGATGACAGGTTCTGCTCGATAACGATCCAAAGCAGAGCGGACCAATGCATGTTCATTTTCATCATCTGAGTCAGATGCCAACAGCAGAACGTTGATTTTCTTTTTTGGTGGTTTGGGTTCTGTAGTTTCCTCATCGAAGTGTTGCTCTTTTAAGACATCTGAAAGCATGCTCCACACCTCGTCCCTCTCAGATTTTGAAAGGCACTTCAGATTCTTAAAGCTTGGGTCGAGTGCTGTACCTATCCTTCGAAATCACACATTGGCACCTTCTTTGTGTTTTGTCAAATCTGTTGTGAGTGTTCCTAAAATGAACATATGCTTGGTCATCATCCGAGACTGCTATAACATGAAATATATGGCAGAATATGGGTAAAACAGAACAGGAGACATACAATTCTCCCCCAAGGAGTTCAGTCACAAATTTAATTAATGCATTATTTTTTTAACTAGCATCATCAGCATGGAAGCATGTCCTCTGGAATGGTGGCCGAAGCATGAAGGGACATATGAATGTTTAGCACATCTGGCACGTAAATACCTGGCAACGCTGCCTACAAAAGTGCCATGCGAACGCCTGTTCTCACTTTCAGGTGACATTGTAAATAAGAAGCAGTCAGCAGTATCTCCCATAAATGTAAACAAACTTGTTTGTCTTGGCGATTGGCTGAACAAGCAGTAGGACTGAGTGACTTGTAGGCTCTAAACTTTTACATTGTTTTGTTTTTGAGTGCAGTTATGTAACAAAAAAAATCTACATTTGTAAGTTACACTTTCATGATAAAGAGATTGCACTACAGTACTTGTATGAGGTGAATTGAAAAATACTATTAATTTTGTTTATCATTTTTACAGTGCAAATATTTGTAATAAAAATAATAATATAAAGTGAGCACTGCACACTTCGTATTCTGTGTTGTAATAGAAATCAATATATTTGAAAATATAGAAAAACGTCCAAAATATTTAATAAATTTCAATTGGTATTCTATTGTTTAACAGTGCAATTAATTGTGATTAATTTTTTTAATTGCAGTTAATTTTTTTAGTTAATCGCGTGAGTTAACTTCAGTTAGCCCTAATTATTATTATTTTAAGTATTTTGAATAGTGTATTCAATTTGGTCCCTGTGGAGAGAGACACTGTAGATAGATAAATTGACTAGCTAGCTAAACAACCTACTGTAGCTAGCTAGACAAGGTGACTAACTAAACAGATTGACAGGTATACTTAGTTCAAGGTGTGGGAATAGTAGATCAAAAAGGAACCAAGTGATAATAAAATCAATGGTTCAAATCTAACCCTGGTGCAATTCTCTTGACTTCAGTGAATTTATACGGGGTTAAATTTGGCTCCATACATTTATCATATTTGGAAAAAGAGTGTTTTTCTTCTGAATGTCCTACTTCTGAACAAACCATCCTTACACAGGAGGAGTGCTTTGGAGGATCTCAGTCTGTTTGTAAGTCTGTTGCGCCATCTGCCTGTCTTTCTGTCCATTTCTCTTTACCTCTCTGAAGTAAATTCAGTTCTTATATAAGGTCTGATCTACACTGGGGGGGGGGGTGGATCTAAGTTACGCAACTTCAGCTACGTGAATCATGTAGCTGAAGTCGACGTACTTAGATCGACTTACCATGGTGTCTTCACCGTGATGAGTCGACTGCTGCCATTCCCCCATTGGCTCCACCTGCGCCTCTCGCGATGGTGGAATACAGGAGTCGACGGGAGAGTGCTCAGGGGTCGATTTATCGCATCTAGACTAGACGCGATAAATCGACTCCCGCTGGATCGATCGCTGCCCACCGATCCGGCGGGTAGTATAGACTTACCCTAAATCTGTGTAGTTGACAAATCCCCAGTCAATGAGCAAGGTGCTGGATAATATTTACCAACCTGTGTGTGACCTTCTGACAGGCCATCTGCAGTCCGTGCCTCATGCTGGTAGCTTCACATTAGCTCTGGCTGGGAAGAGGAATAAAGAGAAAATCTGTAACACAGTTAGGAACCACATAGTCCATCCTTTCTTCCTAATTCCCCCAGCCCACTCACCTCTTCAGTATTCTTCACTGACTTGAATTCAGCTGCAGGGCTTCTTCAGCTCAGGAGGACAAGCTTCAGTTCCTCTGACTAACATGCGGTGTCCTTCGTGCAGGAAACCTGCTGCAGGAACCTTGGTTCATTTACACCCTGGCAGCGTGTGGAGGGGGAGCAATTGTCCTGGCTGTTATAGCGTCACTGATAACATGCTGCTGCCTGAAAAGCAAACAGCAGTTCATTCCGGTGCCTTCAGGTGAGCGGGGATTTCTCTGCTTCTTACTGGGTTGAGAAGAGTCTGTCCTAGGACAGTCTAAACACAGCTCCATTTCCCAATTTGCTGGGTTCTCCATAGGTACTGACTAGACTTTGTGGCTAGTCTTGTCTTCCTTCCATTCCTGCCCTTGTCCCAGTAAAGTTGAGCTTTGTAAAAACCTGCTCTTTGCTGGGGGAAAGTCTCCTGCTGGTGAGTTCCAGAAGGAACATTTTTGTTTTCACCTCAGATTTGCTGGCAGGAGCTATTTGTGCTGAAAACATCAGTGGGGGCACATTAAAGAAGTCCTACTGCTCTGTCTAGGCTTGATCCTGAAGGGAGCTGAGCACCTGTTCCTCCCACTGAATCTCCTGTTGGGATCAGGCCCTCTGTGCTCTGAGTTCAGACATAGCCAGGCCACCTCAGGTGGCAATCCTGTCAGCTCTCCAAATTTGGAAAGTTTATAGTGTCAATACCCTGTATCAGTCTGCTCTGGGAATGGCACCAGGGCCATGTAAGATGGAGACCAAGATGAGTGTGAAAAGTCAGGCTTCACACTGAATATTTCCAGAGTTTATGGAGGGTGGGGCCTGGTTCCTGCTTCCTTGCAGTCTTTCATCTGCTTTTCTACAGAGGAGGAAAAGGAAGAGGGAATGACGATGTCAGTCATCTCCAATGAAGAAACAAAGAGCCCTCCAAATGGAGACCACCATGAGGCACCATCTGCCCCAGATGACAGCCCTCCAAACCCTGGTTGGTACAGGGTCTTGATTTGTAGCTTTCTGAGAAATAACTCGTTTAGGAAATTGGAGGAGGATAAAATTGATGTATGTTATTGAGGGTGGAAAGAGTTGGCTGGACAGTCTGGAGGCCAAATATGACTACTGGAAGTGCAAGCTTCCCAGCACTGTCCTGTCAATACCGCATTAAGCCACATCAGTATGTGCATTTGTCAGCTCTTGGTGCATTGTGGTCTCGTGCCTTTAATACCCAATAAGTGCACCAATACGCCATTAATGCACCTCCTGCCGTGGGGCCGAGGAGGGCTCATCCATTTTACCTTCTGGTTATTAAAAATATCTTTTTAAAAACAGCTTTGCAATTTTACTGTAATTTTAGCTCCCCACCCTGCATATCCAGTATATTTATAAGCTAGATTCATTAACATTGCCCCCAATTCTAGAAATCATTCTTATTCAGCACAGTGCTTAAGAATGTGATAAGCCAGCAGCACATGCTTAAATCCCGTTGAAGTCAGAGATACTTGAGCACATGCTGTGTTGCTTTCTTGAATCAGGGCCACAATTAGTAATACATTCATATTTAAATCTACCAAAGAAATCGGGAATGGAAAACATGGTATATGTGTAATGCAGGCAGGTTAATGTGGGGATAGAAACTGTTTTTTTAATCTTCTATGTGAGTGCTTGATGCATTAAACTCATTTTTTTGCATTTACTTTTCCTGATTTTTTAAATGAACATTAACAGCAGCATATCCGTTACTAACCCATATTAACCGAAGCTGCCCTAACTGGGAGACTTTTAAGTGAGGCTTCCTTATCTCTGGCATCTTAAACTGTGGCCTCAACTTAACTGTCCTTTACTGAGACGTCCTTAACTGAGTTATCCATAATCTACCATTGGTTCAATCATCCTCAGGCAAAACTGCATGCCCTCGGTTTTCAGCGGTTATTGACAAGGGTGCCACAAAAATAAATTGCGTGTGCTTGATGAACAGAGCACTGGATTGGGACTCGGGAAATAGGGGTTCTGTTCCTAGCTCTGCCCTTGACGTGCTGGGTGACCTTGAAACTGACCTCCTTGGTCAGGTGCTTTGCACTCTGCTGATGCAAAGCATTATGTCAGAGGGCCGTGTCATTGTTAATGCACATGTGCAATCATTCCAGCCTTAATGAGCCAACCTTTTAAAACATTGAACTGATTTTCTTCCCATTGAAAATCCCTTCTCTTCATTAGGAAGGTCTATAAAACAAGGTATGTTTACATTTTCTGGCAGCGTACTAAGAGAAATGGAGGTATGCATGTGCTGCATTTCAATAGGAGCCTGTGGAAGAAGGATGTTTTTAACTTGCTTCTCTGATTCAAAAATGGCTGAAACTCGTTTTGCTCTAACTTTATAAATAAATTGCATGTGGGGTTTTTAAGCATGGAAAATCCCAGCACCAAAGAATCTGGTTGAGAAAGTCATGATGAGCAAGTGAAAAATGAGGGGTTGGAAAGGAAACTGAAACTCAGCCCTAACTCTAGCTGCTTCTACCACAGGAGCCATAATAAAATATAGTTTTATCTTGTATTGCATCTTACAAATATATTGCATACCTTAAAATGTGTTGCAGAGTTAAAAAATATAGTTACAGAGCAAGATAGTACAATAATAATGGAGGAGGAGTTAAATGTAGAGATATAGGCAAGGGAGAATTGATATGGTTTAGATCAGAGATTTGAAAATATACGGAAAGTTAATAAGGCAGAGAGAGATGGCAAGAGCTTGTCTCAAAGCAATAGTTGCCAGATTGTACTGAAGGACAGAGAGGAAACCAGTTCTGGGTGAGAAGAAATTAAACAGAGAGGGGACTAGAGAAAGATGAGCTCGGTGCTGTTGTCTGTGGCAAATCCCTAGAGGGATTTAAAAACAAGGGAGGTGATCTTGAACCAGATCCTGAATTGAATGTGGAGTCAGTGGAGCAGTTTGCA